TTGCTACTGGCTGCAGAAGACTCCTCCCTAAGAAGACCCTCAATGCACTTCTGACATAGGGCCTTAACATAAGCAGAGCTCAACTTCACCGCACAAACTGCACCCTTTTTCTTTGGGGCCACCTTCGTTTTTTCTTTAGCCTGAAATAAACCAAAGAGCCATTTAACCACTGTCTGTCACTCAAAAAAGGGTTAGAGTGCCCCTCAACACCAAAGCATCCAACTCCAAGGGACCCCAGGTGGAGGAAAGAAATTTCAGAGGTAACAGGGAGGTAAGATAGTACACATCTTCCATACCTGAGCCGTGCTGGTGCTTGGAAGACCGGAATCTGCAGTCACTGCAAGCGTAACCCAGGATCCATCTCAGCAGTCTCCAAAAGAAGCCTGCCAGCGTTTCTTCTCAGTCACTACTGAGATTCACGCTGTATTCAGCACTGCCCAAGCCCTCCCCTTCCTCCTGCGAGGAAAACGAGGCTTAGAACGCACAAGCCCGGCGCCCGGAAATGACGCACCCGCCCCGTAAGTGATGTACGCGGCCACCCGGTCTGGCCGTGGAACATTTTCCCGAGGCCCTGAGAACCAGACAGACCCCTCTGAACGGCGGTCCATCGATTCCCCTGACCCAGCCAAGGGGGTTTCGTCCTCCCGGTCCCGGCCCGCACTGGGCAGCGCTAGGAGAATCTCTGGGGCTCAAACAGGTTAGCAATCCTACACCATCTGCCCTACATAGGCAGCCATTAACGAAAGGAGACTTCCCGGGCAGCATCACCACATGGAAGCCCCTCTCAGCATTCTGTGACGCGCTCCCCAGCTTGACTGAGGAAACACAAAAGACTGAGGGAGTGGAGGAGAGGAGGGTCTTTTAAGGAGTTTAAGTGACGTGTTTCCTGTGTGTGGGGGAGGAGATTCCATCCCATGATGCTGTCCTGGAAGACATTATGGGAAAAAAGGAAAGGAACAATATACATCCAAGAAATTAACCCCTGATTAAGAAAATTCCTATTGCATTTATGTTTTGTTAACTTTAATCAATAGAAATTTTGTGGAATGCTCTTGACATGGGTAAAACCAGAAAGCCAGCCCTGACACAAGAAAGCCATCTATACTTACCTGCAGGTTTTCCCCGTTGCCGGGTGTATCAATACCTGCTCCCTGCGCAGTGGTTGTTGACTCATACATACAGGACATATGAGCCGGTGGGAGGACAGGTGGTGGTGACGGGACGACTACACACACCTTTGATGATACAGGTTCATACACACCTATGTGCATGGATTTCGAAAGGTGCTAATCTACATGTGTGCAACATGCACTGTCTGAAAAACATGCATGAAAACATACAGGTAAGGTAAGAATCCAGTCTAAAAAGTAAGTGTCCAGCAAGAAGCTGGAGAGTTTAAGTGCAGAGTATCACATATAACTTCCTTCAAGAACTGATCCAACAAGCTCCGACAGGAAATCTTGTCTTCCTACTATGAGTATTATGGTTACATTCCGTACAAAGAAAACAAAGTCAAGCAAAATCAGGAGTGCTTGACCACAGCATCTAATCTGAAGCTAATAGTAATAGCTGTATAGGTGGTCTCAAGTCAGAGGATTACAGCTACTAAAGAATGGATGACAGTAAACAGCTGGCGAGGGCCTTGACATGCTAGCTTTCAAGCATCTGACACATTTCCACTATTGGGTAAACTTGATTTTTAGAACATTTCAGCTCCAACTGAATGTCAGTAGCATTGTTTGTACAATTTCCTGAATTCTACAATAGCCATTTCAACACGCTCCGTTCACCAAAAGATAACCTAGTGACCCCGCATCCTCCTATGTTATTATCAAGTTCAATCTTTGTTATAATAAATACCGCTGTACAGGATGGCTTTACAAGTGACAATGTCGGCATAACTTATGCAATTACACCAATGCAACTGCTAACAACTTCTGCAATGTTCTATAATTTAAAAAAACGACAGCAACCCTATTATGCATTTGCAAGATGATCTATTGGCCACACTGTTACTAAATCTGTATATGCCATACTTCAATTGTTATATAGAAATAAAAATCATTAAACAAAACGAAATTTTTCTAGCACTCTCTTGTATAAAAGGAGGAATAGACTTCAGAAAGAAAGAAACATAATCCCCTGCAGAATGTGTTATTAAAACCCCATCTTGAATATGCCGTTCAGCACCAGTGCACAAAAAGGATGTTGCTGAATTGAGTATGGTGCCGAGAAGGTCATCTAAACTAATAAAGGGCATGGAGTGAGGAAAGAGTAGGTGAGCGGAATTTGTTCTCTCTTGAGAAGAGGTGATTAAAAGGGGATATGATCACCTTGTATAAATATATAAATGTTGTATATAGTAAAACAGTGCAGCTGTTCACTTTGCTCACTGCAACTGACAAGGGACAGCTTTTGTGTCTGGAGGGGAAAAAAAAGGCTTCTTTATGCTAAGAGCTGTGAAAATGTGTAGCAAACCTCCACAGGAGCTTGTTCTAGCCAGTTCTGTAGATTAAAAAAAAATGCTGGATGTGTTGCTTGATGCACATATTAGAACTGGCTACAGGGGGTGTGGAAATAAAATAAAAAAAATAGGATTTTTGTACTCACCGTAAAATCCTTTTCTCTCCATTCATTGAAGGACACAGGGCAACAGATCGAAGATCCTGAATGGTAGAGTATATCGCCACCTGCAGGAGTAGGACGCTAGGCACATAACAAAAGACAAGACAGCCTAGGGGCGGCCCCTGCTGATGGCCAAACCCCCCACCTGCTTACAAGTCTCCAGTTTTTTGCCTAGAGTCAGGAGTAAGGAGCGAAAAAAATTTCTCTGGAAATTTTTTTCCTTTCTACCCTTTGATTCGTTTTTCCTTCTAGCAAGTGTCCCCGGGCGACATGCTGGATGACTGTAGATGCTTGTAGACTCCCCTGGGTGACCGACGAGCGCATGCAGACTCTGCCACGGTGGGTCGGCTGCGACATGTGGTCCCCCTTGACGCCTACGGGTTCGTCCCGGGGGGGGTGCTTATGACAGGGGGTCGTGGCCTGCCTGACGCCGCGACTACAGTCGAGGGTGTTTTTCTTCTGATTCCCTGCTCGTCCTGGATCCTGGCGATGGAGTCCGGCCTTCCCTCCGCGGGGGTATGTATGTGGGGTCTACAGCGGATGGGCCGTGGGGACCAGGTACTTAAGGTAAGCTTGGGGTTGCGCTGTTCTGTGTCACAGCTGCAGCCTTCTGTCTCCCCCCCTCCTCCCCCTCCCTCATGGTGATCAGACTTCAGGTGGGCCATGGATGGCGGTGCACTCCTGTGTGGGCTCCTTCTGAGGGGACTTGGGCTCTGACTTTTCCAAGGACTAAAGCGGGGACCCAATCTACTTGTTCCTTATGACAATCTACTTGTCCGGATACAAAAAACAATAAACCGTATTTAACTGTGAAGAAGTGCTTCTCATTGATAAGTGTGGTCAGGTGACCGCGCTGACCAACGAGTGCTTGAATTTGCAAGCAAAATTCAGTATAATACACCCGGTATCAGTGGAGAGGAAGGACTGTTTGCCAAAAAGGTAAGTATGGGGTGGGGGTGGGGGGGGGATTTCAGCAAATAATTCTATTTTTCCAAATTACTTTAAAAAGTGAACCTACCCTTTAATGCGCACATTGTGTGTGTGTGTGTGTGTTAGAATGTTGCTGCCTGGCTACCACACTATGGCACACAGTGGAAAGGGGGCAGCACTCAACACACACACAATGCCCTACGCATGCATTTATTTGTGGGGGAAGCAGGTTTGGTTTTAATTTTTCATATAATTTTTTTTTAACTTGAAATAATTTCTTACCTTTTACTTTTTTATAATTTTTTTACCGTATCACTTTTTTCTTTTTTCACTTCTTTTTTCAATTTTTATTTTTTTTACTTTTTATCAATGGGGTTTTTTCTTGTTTTTTTTTACACTTAGCACCTGTGTGATAGCAATAAAGTTAACAAGATCCTGTGTGGTAGCATTTGGGGGTGACAGGTTCTCTTTATCGAACCTGTCACCTTCAATACAGGAGTTTTAGCACAGTACTGTGCTGGCTCTCCTGTGACAGCTGAGATTATAGGGTTGCGAGTGCAGCGTTCCTGTCTCCGTGTTTACATGGAGCAGAGCACAGAATGGACAGTCTCCGGTCTGCTCCCCGCTCTCCATCCTTAACTACTTTGCCATGGTCCCGAGTCCCCCAGAAGAGCGGGGGACCCCAAAAACCACGACAGGGAGGTGGCCAGCTGGGAGAGAGGCAGGCGGCGGTGGACAGACCTGCAGGCTTATTACAAGGGATCTCAGCGGCATCACCAAGATCGCTTGTACAAAACAAGTGGCGGGTTCCCCGCTCTACATGCAGGAAAAAAAAAACTACCAGCCTGGAACTGCTTGCCCCGGGCGTCGGGCCCTAAGAATTACACACCCCTGCGACTATTAACATTGTTGAATGTTGATCCAGGGAAAATTCCACTGCCTTAGGGGATCATAAGGGACTTTTTTCCCTGTTCAGAGCCAGCACCATAACCTTTGTTTGCCTTCTTCTGGATCAACTGTGGGTTTAAGATTCTGTGGATATAGGATACAATTAATCTTTTCTATTGGTTCATGCATGTGTGTTTTTCAACTGAACTATGCAACTATATGGTACAGCTAATTTATGAAAATTACAGCATTGGAATAAATAGTTTGGTGTCTCCTATAGAAACTAGTCAGATTTAGTCTACTTTCATATTCTAACTTCTGAATCTGAATTAATAACATAGTAAAAAGCAAAGTATTGATATGAATGTCAGGGACTAGACATATTTTGTTTAAAACTGCATCTGATTACTGTCTGTGGCTTATTCCTCTACATTATATCAAATACTATAGAGTAGGTCTAATTAACAAAAAAATTGTTACTTTGCCAAAGTGCACATGGAAAGATACTCCCTGAACAGTGTGCAGACACTTCCAAAAGGAATTTATGTCAGACTTACCATTAGGATAGGGAGTTTCACAAAGTGTAAGAAAATCCACAATTCGATAATCCATTTCTAAGACAGCTGTGCTTTTTCCATGCATGACGGTTAGGCAAGGTCTTCTTCCAACTGTATCATAGGACAGGCCACCTGATAGGATAATAAAAGGCTCCCTGAAAAAGTCAGATATAATGGTTAATGTAACAATTCGTGTCTTAGCACTTAATTACCCAAGCTTATATTTTTCTCTAAAATCCACAACACATTCACATATTTCCAGATTACTGTTAAGGAAACTACTCATTCAGAATATATGCCCATGTTAGGTTTTTTTAAACACTGAAGATGAAAAAAACACCCTGCTTGGAACATTGTAGAAGTACTTTCCAAATAAAATTGTGATTGCATGAAAATATGCCTAAATTGAGTTTCCCATTGGAGGTCTTTGAGATGTATTAGGCTGAAAAAACTGCCATTGACAGACTTCATCCTGGCCAGGGTAAACAATTGAAATGCATCCAAAGAAGGTCCAAGTGAACAAGAAGTAAAGCCCAATATTTGCCATTTTTTTTACATTTTATTTTAGCATTTGGTAGAGCGGTGGGGGCTTAGAACTTCTTTTACCATTTTATTGCACCCCAATTGGGGAAATTTCTCCTTAATTCCCGACTACTTGATAGTAATAAGACAAAACCTAAATTGAGTGCAAATCTCCCTACTCCCTGTCCATTTGATAGGGGCAAACAGAACAGGAAGTAAGGGGAAATCCCCCAACGGAGTTGGACACCAATAAAAAACAAAATTTTGAGTAGGAGTACAGTGAGGCAGACTTAGATCCTCTGTATATATTTTTTACAGTTCATATCCCTATGAGGGAAATTTCACCCCACTGTTCTGTCAGACAAAAAAAGAAGATAAATCTTCTCTATGGGGACGGCATGTTAAAACTGACAGAAATACCTCCTCAACAGGTGTTGTCCCCCTCTGACAGATAGGCTAACCCATCCCCACACTATCAAAAAGTTTTGGCTTAATTTGAGCTTTAAAGAGAAATCCTGGCTGACTTGTCTGTTGCCTAAGAGACCTGTACTGGGATATGACTGAAAAATAACGATTTTTATTTATTTATTTTTATTATTCTAGTCTTGTCGTTTTGTTTGTTTAGTTTAGTGGGTGTACTGTATTGTCTTGTTAAGAGGTGGTACGGTGGGGAGGGTCAGCAGGGTGGTACCTTGCAGACACCTTGTGGTTTATCCTTGCAGACTATAGATGTTAATGTATGTTTTGTATATGGATGTTTTATGGTATAAAATTAATAAAATCTTTGAAAGAGAAAAATAATGATGGATTCATTAAGAAAACAATTATTCCACCAAGATGTCTTGAAAATAACAAATAATAATAGCATGTAATGTAACAAGAGAACAACATATTTCTTTGGCAATCTCTGTAAATAAAATGAGCCCAAACACAAAAATATATGAAAAACATATGGACCAAAGAACCTATACATCATTAAAAAAGATTTTACACATTTATGGAGTAATATTAGATAATAAATCGTATGTAGAAAAATTATACAGAAACTTTAACAGGCAGAATTCCACTTGGTGGTAAAACAAAGTACAAGTACATTATTCTACATGATACGTGTATTACATAAAGCACAACAGAGAAACAATGAGAGGCTTTCCTGAGAGCAAATATATTAGATGAAACTGAGCAAGTACATTGTGGCTGACTAAGTACTGTGCTAAATAAAGAAATAATGCACGCATCAACTTTAAGCTTTAAAGTCATTTAACATCCTGCCAAGATTAAGGAACATAATCAGCATTAAACCAAATAACCTTAAAACACATTTACAAATTCTCCCTGCTGTGTTCAGGTGTGAATGAGAGTCTCAAAAGGGTAACACTACAGTTTCTGTGATGCAGACTGTAAGCAATACAATAGACAGGATATGTGCCAAAGGCCGAACATCTACATTTACTCTTATTTACTTAAAAAAAAACATGGACATTAAAATAAAACAGCTTAGCTAAATTCCTCTTAACAATGCATTTATATCAATAAAATCAATGAAAACATGTCAGCTGCAAACCAATAAACACAGGGGAACAACTTATTTCTTATTTTCTGTTGCATGAGATTTTTGAACTGATTCCAAGTATTTTTTAAATGCAGATTTCAATTGTGAAATTGGCTTTAATCTACATGCTTTAGTTTTCATGCAATTTGATTTCTGCAAAAAAAGGACACCCATTGCTATTTACCATAGGCATAGCTTGAGAACTAGGCTTACATGTACTTTAACCTTAGACTAATTGGGCTATTTTGTTTTTACAAACATCAAAATTCTTTCTTTTTTTTTAATTAATTTTGGATTATAGAGATGTATCTGATTTATCTGATTTTCTTGATGAAACATTTCATGGGAGGCATTAAGTACTGATGGTGATTGTTTTCAACATATCTGCTTTTCATGTTTGTCTTTCGAGAAGATCAAAACAAGTGTGTTCGATGAACCTCAAATCCGTGCCCTTGTGCGTGAAGGGAAATTTGTCAGGAAGATGAATGACAAGGAGAAGGCAGCATGGCTGTCTTTTGTGGCAGTTATACAAAGCTTTCTTGGTAACAAAAAGGCAGATAACTATGAGGTTCTCGTTACTATAATGCTGTTGGCTGTTCGCAATCATGGGTGCAACACGAGTGTCAAGCTTAAACTTCCTGAATAGTCACCTTGATCAATTACCAGAGAACCTTGGGGCCGTTAGTGATGAACAGGGAGACCACATGACGATGGAACAGCGCTATCAAGGGCGATGGGACAAAAATATGATGGCAGACTACTGCTGGAGCATCAAACTAGATTGTGCTGAGAAAGTCCACAAATGCCACAGCTACAAGCACAAATTCTTGCCTGAATAGGACATATTTGAACTCGGCATCCCATCCTTATCAGTTATTCTGAATCGCCTATCATCTTTATGTTGAAAATATGTTAATGAAAAGTAAAAATAATTAGTGCATACTATATTTGACGATAACAAATAAATGTTTCAGATTTGACAAGTGGCAATACATATTTTGCCTTTTTTCAAAATGCTATGCATATTGTGATGCGCCTACATGTATTTGTGAATACATAAAGAATATCTTTGCCAAGACGGTTGTTTAAGCCTAATTTTAAGACTGCGTGACAATAAATTCTTCAGATAGACCATGTCATATTGTGAGAGGTATCAACATTTTGCAAAACATTAAAATGTTGACTCGCAAAATATCTAGAGCTTACAGAGAAAAACTAACTTCAGATTTGAATTTAGCACCCTCAAATTAGGTAAGAACAAGTGCTGGTATCAATGCAACAAAAATGTGTTCCCCAGTGTAATGATCACAACTAGGAATTCATATATTTCTGTTAAAGGAAACTACACATTCCTAATATATCCCCATTTGTGTGACTGACACTGAAAAGCACACCCCATTTGGAACATTGTAGAAGTACTTTCCAAATAGAATCGTGATTGCATGAAAATATTCCCAATTTGGAGCTCCCTGAGGTGTACTGAGCAGAGAAACTGCAATGGACAGGCTCCAAGTTCAAAAAGAAAATATGTCTTCCTCATGGCCTGGTAAATCATGGAGTGCCTCCAAAGAAGGTCAAAGTGAACAAGAAATAAAGTCAAACTTTTTTAAAATTTATTTTTAGGTATGAATGGAAGTTTCAAAAAGGAAACCCCACAGCTCCTGTGATGCAGAATGTAAGCGATATAATAGACAGAATATGTGCTGCAGGCTGACCATCTGAAATTTACTTTTACTCACAAACATGCACATTAAAATAAAATAGCTTAGCATATTTATCTTAACAATGCCTTTATAATCAGTAAAATCAAGGAAACCACGATGCTTGGAGGCCAATAATGATCACATTTGGTCATGCAAACCGCCCCATGTTCCTAAGCCAGCCAAAACAAAATAAGGTCAACAGCTGGTTCAAACAACATTACATACAATCATGTAATTTAGGAGTAATAATACTGGATTAGCCGCAAATAGATTGTTGATGGACCCACCTACTGCATGCAGATTGTGCAAGCCCCTTTTCACTATTGTGAAATATTAACGGTGGCTTGTTAACATATCATATTCTCACTAAACTTTTCACAAGCTCAGAAATCAACCAAAACTTAACGAAAAAAAATATTTATTCTTGCTGTACACTGATAATGCATTTTGTCTTTAGAAAAATTAAAGCCGGGCTCAAATTAGCCAACATAAAAAGGCAACAAAAATTACCAGTTAATTAAAAAATAAAAAATGAAGATTTTGCTGTAATACTCAAATTCAAACCACTGCTGTCCTATGCAGAACTTTTCTGTCACTGCATGTCCTCAGTCTTCAATGTTTAATTACTGCCATTCAGTCCACTTCCTCTGAGCATAGATCCTGATGGATCCACAGTCGAGACCCGAGCACCTTTCAGTGCAGAAGTAAGGACTGCCCTCTTCCACCATTAGAGAACAAAAAGGAGGGGACCCTGATGTCACATTTAGCATTTATTCAGTACTTGGGATAGATGGGGCTTTAATTTGGCAGCAGATTTTAATACATATATTTACTTCCAGGTTTTAATTAGGAACAAATGTCTTTCTAACACAACGTTTACGTAATTAGTGCTGCCCCAGATATTTACCCCAAAACATAACCATTAAAGTCTGCTGATTAAAAGAACACATAAGCGAGATCTTTATGTAACAACATGTTATGGCTCAAAGTAAAATGTTTCCATTTTACTATGTCGCTCTGCAGAAGGGACCCTGCATGGTCCTGAAACATTGACTTTTATGACACATGACAATTTTTCAACAAACCGAATAAGGATTTATGTTCTTATCTCATGAGTGCTGGTGATTTTCCTTTTAACTTTGAAGTCCCACATGGCTCCCCATCTGTGTAATCACTGTGAGCAGCACTATTCTCTGAAGGTCACAAAGCTGTATGGAGTGCAGGTGACCCACAATATCAATACATGATTTTCCTAGCTAATTCTTACTTTAGATGCTTTTCATTATGGGCAAATTAAGACTGTGGCAGAGTGTTCAAGTGTTTTGAATAGGCTGCCAACACAAAGCAAAGCAAATTGTAATTTACCTGCACCTTGTTT